TGGTGGACGCGAGCTTCGGCCGCGCCTTGTTGCAGTCGGCGTGGACGTTGGACTCCGGGGCGACCCCGTCGCGCAAGGCGGTCTGTAAGACTCCCCGGCACGACTCGGGGGGCGGGCGCGCCTTCGGGGGGGCCAGCTTGTAGAACGGCAGGAAGGATAGGCACGGCTCGCCCATGCCCCGTTGGATGGCGCCAGCGACTTGCACGCGCAGCTGGAAGTAGCTCGGAGGCTTCTTGACGCATTTCTGAATCAGATGCTGGTAGGACTCGTTCTCGGGCGACACGCAGATCTTCGCGACCTGGTGAGCGCCCAACCCCACGTCGCCACCAATCCTGCCCCTCCCACTCAGCAGCAGACCCTGCTTCGCCTCGGTGGCGCGACGTAACTTCACGAACTGCCCCGCGCGCCGTTTGCCGCAGCCTGCGCGGGCCGCTAGATCACCGGGGCCGGGCGCCGCGACGCGGTTAGAGCGGGCGCATTCTTTCAACATCGCCAGCGCCTGCCGCGGCAACAGGCGCATCTCCTTGAACAGCGCCAGCTGCATGACGTAGACCCGCCCCCCGCAGCCCCTGGCGCCGCAGCGGTAGAAGGCGCGCCCACGGCCATTCCAGCGCGACTTGCGCAGGACAGTAGAGAGCGCCCCTCCGCAGAGCGGGCGCTACTTCGGCACCGCCACGGCGCCAGTCCTTGAGCTGACGGACGGCGTTCTCCAGCGAGACGGCGTCGTCCTCCATGAAAGCCTTCTTGCGCCCACCCGCTCCACGCGCGGGCTGGTCGCGCAGCGCGCCCTCCTCTTCGCGGCCTGGCTGGCACTGACCGCTGGGTTGGGAGCGCACGCCTTGCGCTGCTTCCCCACTGACACCGCGCCCGCCGTCCGACTGCCCATGCGCGGCTTGCTCCTCCTGCGCCCTGTCCGCAGCTTCAAGATACCAAGTAACTCTCGAATCTTCCTCGCGCCAGTCGCCGCGCACGTGGCCACGGCGCGCCCCGGTCTGCCGTAGCAAGAGCATCGCTCGCACGCGCCCATGGGGGCGCCAGGCGAACGGGCCAAGCCCACAAGCGCTGACCTCGAAAGAGCTCGAGCCAAAACGGCTGCGGGGAGCAACGGGGACGCCGAGGCAAATGCATGACACGGCAGCAACGACGCAACCCCGCATGTTTCTCAGTCGCGCAGGTCTCTCCGCAGACATCGCAGACGTCCTAACACCCCTTCGGATGCTCATGTATCTCTTGTGCGAGCATCCCTGGCCAGCATGGACACCCGCACCGCAGCCCCCAGGCCGCCCCACCTGGTGCGACGCCCCATCTGGCCCAGGCCGCGCGGCCCAGCGGACCTCGGCCCGCCGCGCCACCCCGAACGGGGAGCCTCGCCCGCAAACGCGGCCTCACCCCTCACTTCATCTAGTCCATGCCGCCGCCGAACCCGAACGCGTCCTCCTCCTCCGTCTGGGAACCCCTGCTAGCCTCAGTCAGCGCCCGCCCTCGCGGCGTCGGCGCTCGCGCCCCCCATGAAAGACTCGTACTCGTCGTCAATGGAAACCGCGCACACCGCGCGATCGTCCTCGACGCACTCCTTGCCCGCGACAAGAGCCGCCGACCGCTCCAGGAAAACGCCGTTCTCGATGAGGATGACCGCGCTCGACGAGGACGCGCCGTCGCCCGCCCTGAACTTCTCGGAAGCAAGCTCGTCCGCGGGGCTCACGTCAATGGGGTTCCGCTTCGGCTGGTCGGCGAGCTCGCTAGTCATTGCGAAGAAAGATTCCCCCTGGTCGCGTTTCAACTGCACGCGATGGACCTCTGGGTCGGCGAGGATCCTGCCGAAGAGATGATGTCCCTCGCTTACCAGCGCGCCCAGCTCGCCACGGTCGCGCAGCATTGCGCGTTCGGCGCAGGCTTCAAGAGAACGATCGTGGAGGTCGCGTGCAAGCCCCACGGCCGGACGCGGACGTAGTGCTTGGCGTTGACAAACACGTTGACCCGCTTAACGATGGCCTCGAGGTCCGCCTCAGAACACGGGGGGGGAGCGGACCCAACCATTTTCATGAAGGTCTCGTTCGCAATGCGGCCCGCTGCGCCTCCGAGGACAGCCCCAGCCCTGACCTGCTTGCCGTCGAGCGTGACAGCTGGGCCAAGGCTGGCGTCGAACTCGTCAGCGGCCATCATCCTGGGTTGGCACTGCACGAACTTACTGGCGCACCACCTCTCGCGGGCGAGCGACTCCATGCAGCTGGCGCCCAGGAAGCTTTTGAACACCTTCACGGACAGGTCCGACATGTCCCCGTCGCCCAGGCAGCGGACGCGCCAGCGTTCGCCTTGCTCGTCGCGGTAGAAGTCGAGGTCCGTCGCCGCTGCCCATGCCGCCAAGACCCAGGAAGATGATCGACTTGCGCTTCAGCAAAGGAATCAGCGACTCCAAGATCTCCTGCGCCCACGGCTCCAAGTCGCCCCACGCGATCGGCAGGTACGTGTACTTGGTCGCCGACACCGACTTACTCCGCACCTGCGCGAGACACTCTCGGATATCCTTTCGCCCAGGCACTTTATCTTGCTGTCTGGGCCCGCGAGCTCCTGCAGCATCCACTTCGCCTGCATCATGTCAGAGTTGTCGTGCGGCGCGCGCGCGCAGACGCAGTCGATCGCCGCCCCTCTTTCGGATTGGCCGACATTCCTGTCGGCCAAGTTCTGGTCGAACGACCACCAACGACACTGCAGTGCAGACCACCGAGCTTGCCCAACATGAAGTTCAACGCTATTGGGCCGACACGCACCTGATTGCCCCAGTTAATCTTCATCAACACGCCCTGGGACACCGCACCGCACGCATCGTACTCCTGCCGATCGTCGAACTTGTAGCGCTTGATGATGGCGCACGGCATCTCGGCGGCAGCCTCCTTGATCACGACGACCTTCAGCTTGACGGGCACACGAGGGCCGCCGCCGGCATCATCTTACCAGGCAGGTTCATGTACATCTGCTCCGCCATGAAGCCTGCGACCTCGTCTGCGTCGAAGGCGTCGGTGCACTTCTGGACAACGCCAATGACGCGCGTCATTTGCCCCGGCGATTGGCCCAGAGATGTGAGAGGCAAGTCCATCGCGCCTGCGACGCCGTTCCCCCGCTTTCCAAAGAAAGCGAACTTCGGCAGCTGCTTCATCTTCAGCCCGTCCACGACGCTGCCCGCCATAGCAGACGCGCATCGTGGCTCGCCTGCGCCCGCTTGAACCTCGAGCTCCTCCGCCGAAGAGTCGGGGGCACCCGCGACGGCGGCCATGGAGGGGAAAAAAGCCGCAGCGCCAACCCTCGACAGAGGCGACGCGCGCGTGATCACTGCAATGCTTAACCAGAAAAGCGGCGAAAGAATGGCGCGGCGACGCCATGACTGACAATCGGGGCGGGTTGGCACACCGGGGGCCCCGCCGGGCCACGCCCCCCCCTTTTTTCTTGAATTTGCTGGGAGGCCGTTTTGGCGACGTTCTCCTGCCAAAAAAATACTTGAACTGTTGTTTTATAAATCGGGCTTTTATACATATATATACATATATATGTATATATATATATATATATATATATATTATGTGTGTGTCTGTGTATGTGAATGTGTATGTGTGTGTCTGTCTGCGTGCGTGCGCGTGTGTTTTACAAGACAACTCGGTTGAATTATCCGCTGCTGATACTGCAACCGCGCAAGACCCCAAAATGGCCCCGAAGGGGCTCAAAGGGGCCCCAGGATTGGCTGAGAAGCTCCCGAGACGGCCCCAAGATGGCCCGACAGGCCCTCAATACGGCTCCACAGAAGCCGAAGAGCCCCCCCACCCCCCAGAGAAGCCAGAATGCTCCAGGACAGCCTACAGGACCCCAAAGAGGCCCCCCAGCGGCCCCATCGCGCACCCAAGACCGCGAAACCGCTGAGGGACCCACGACGCTCCCAACAAGCCCTCTGCGTCGCCTTTCTGGGAAAGGCGCAGGGCGGGCGGGGGTCGACGACGACGACGACGACGACGACGGCGAAGAGGACGACAACGACGACGACGACGACGACGACGACGACGACGACGACGACGACGACGACGACGACGACGACGAGCACACGTCACGGCACCCCTCGCGATCCTCGATCAACAATCGCCACGGGCGCTGGGCTGGCACGACGGCGGGTTTGCCGAAGGCTACTTCACATTTGCGCGCGAACATAAAAACTGCTTTCGCCCGACGGAGCAGCGGGGCGAGGAGTTGGGAGGGGGGGCAGACGCGGGCGGAGGCGCGAGAGCGGGGAAGGACGCGGGGACTGGAGCAGCAGCAGGAGGAAGAGAGGGAAGGCGCAGGAGCGGGGTCTGCAGGGACGCGTGGGGGGGGCGCTCGTGGAGCAAGAAGAAAGCTGGTGTGTTTGTTGTTTTCTATGGCTGCGCACCCGCCGCGCGGCTCACCCGCGAGCGGGCTTCTCCTGGAGCGCGCGTTCCTTCACCTTGCCCTGCCGCTCGAGCGCCCCGCCCCGATCCTGGGGGGCAACGATAGGGGCGCGTCGACCTGAATCGGCGACACATCGCCCATGGATCGGCGATGGGCCTCCGATAATGAAACCGCACCCTGCTGGGCAGGTTGGGGCTATCGGGCCCCTATCGGCGATCAATGGGCGATTGGGGTCGACGCATCCCCCCCCACGCCTATCCCCCCCGATCGTTGCCCCTGAGATCCTCGCCACCCCGCGAGACGGTCAAGTATGCCCGGTAAAATTCCACCCCCTTGCACGCGCTCTGCGAACCATGCGTCGTGGAGAAATGCGACAGCAGCGCCGTCGCGTCGCCCTCGAAAGCGATGGTCTTCGGCACCTCCCCGCGCACGCGGTCGCACTGCAACTGCTTCGCGGCACTCGCGCCGGGCTGCCCACGCTGGCCGACGGAGCCCGCGGCGTGCAAGCACGCCGCCGAATTCTTCCCGCTCTTGATGCACTCCGCCAGAGCCCCCCTGTCCATCCTGCACGGGAATACTGGGAAGCGGCAGCTGGAGCCCCGCAACTGCAAGAACTCCAGCGCATGGCTGACGATGAGCGCGCCACCGAACAGTTCCACTCGCCCCAAGACCTTCACAACTCCATCAAGCGCGTCCGCCGGGACAAGGTCGCCCAACACCTGCGGATTTGCCCATTGGGGCTGGAGGGGCGCGTCAAACGTGTAGCGCACGCCCCGCGTTTTCTGTTCCGTCGCGCGCTGAGCTCTCCCCCGTTAGGGTTGGACTTGAGGCCGCACATCGGCGTTTCGTCTAGGCAAACCTCTTCGTAGAACGCCACCCACATTTTGAACGAATCGAGCAGGGGCGATACGTTTTTTTGAGAAATATGCTAAGGCCTTCTTGCTGCGCACGCAGAGACAGTAAAGAGCAGCGAGGACAGTCATGACTTTCGCGCGGGCGTCGCGCTACTCGCCGCCCCAGCTCCGCCACCACTTAGCGCCCGCATCATAGAAGGCATCGCCGCCGCCATCCCCGCACACTGGATGGAGGTCCAGACCGAGCACCACGTCCTTGAAACATGAGAGAGCGTGATCCACCGCCGCTTTACGGTGAAAAATGCCACCTTCCCCCAGAACCCGCCCCCCCCCCCCTCTGAAAATCCCCCCCCCGCCCTTCCCCCGCCCCCCCCCCCCTCCCCTACCCCGCCCCACCCTTCCCTCTCGAAAACCAGAGGGGGGGGCCACTACGAATTTCGCACCCCCCCCCCCTCGAAAAGGGGGGGGTCACTACCTGTTCGAACCCCCCCCCACCCCCCACCCCCACTCGCCGCCAGCAAACGACTCCCGGCCCCACCCACCGTCCGCGCCACATCCCCACTGCTGTCCACAACACCACTGTCCTCACCGCCACTGCCCCCACTGGTTCCACCACCGCCCCTACTGTCCCCCACCAGTGCCCCCCCGCCACTGTCGCACTGTCCCCACTGCCCCCACCACCTGTTCCCACCGCGGTTCCACTCTCCCCACTTTCTCCACGGCCCCAACCACTGCCCGACTATCCCCACTGCCCCCACTGCCCCACTGACTCCTCCGCTGTCCCACTGAGCTGTCCCAATATTCCCACCACTGCCCCCACTGTCCCCACCACTGCCCCCACTGTACCTCTGTCCCATTGCCCCACCGCCGTCCTCGCCACCGCCTTCACCACTGCCCCCACCACCACTGCGCCCTCCACGGTCCCACTGTTTCCACCTCCCACTGCCCCCACACCACTGCCCCCACCACCACCGCCCCCACCACTGTCCACTGTCCCCACTGTTCCCACCATTGTCCTCACCGCTGTCCTCACCGCTGCCCCCACCACTACAAGTCCCCACCACTGTCCCACTGCCCCCACCACTGTCCCGCTGCCCCCTCGCCACTGCCCCCAACGCCACCGCCACCGCCACTGTCCGCACCGGTTTTCGAGGAGGGGGGGGTTCGAACCGGCAGTGACCCCCCCCGGTTTTCGAGGAAGGGGGGGGGGGATTCGAACCGGCAGTGACCCCCCCCCCTTTTCATGATGAACTGGAGGGGGGAGGGGTTCGAACCGGCAGCGACCCCCCCCCCCAATTTTCCGGAAAGGGGGGGTGGGGGGGGGGGGTCGAACCGGTAGTGCCCCCCCCGGTTTTCCGCCAGCAGCGGTAGAACACGCTCTTTCTGATACATAGACCCGAAAGAGGATCCACCAGCGTGACCAAGGCTTGCAAAAGCTCCAACGTCATCTCGCCGCCCTCAAAAGCGACTGGCATTTTCCAACCGTCCTTGGACAACAGAGAACACATCCATGGAGACATGCATCTGCGTCTGCGTCTGCGTTTTGCACTCCCACAGGCCATGTGCAATTATGAGGAAGTCACGGGCTCTGGGCGCGCGCGTGCGCACACGTGCCATGCATATGATTTCTGTTATCCGCACTCCTTGAAGGAGCACTGGCTTGCCACCACGCAAACTGCGAGGAACAGAACCGTCTGCATCAACGGCGAAACGTCCAGTAAAAGGTGGTGCCACAAAAGCCGCATCGATCTGTAAACTGTGAAAGCGTCACTGCGTTGCACCACCTTGTTCAAAGTCAGTGCAGTCAGGTAGTAGAGGTCCCGCTGCTGCTCGCTACCATTTGCGTCTGCCTTCAGGGTTCCCTCGCGCACCTTGGCAACAGAACTTTCTCTATCTCGGCCAGGGCGGATCTTGATACAGAAATCCATATCTTGAACCGGTCTGAGAAGAGCCAAAACGGCTACGGAAGCAAGGGGGAAGGCATATGAAAAAGGGAAGGAAAAGGACGAGGAGGAGGAGGCTCGGTCTCTACTAGGTGTGCCCCGTCACTCCCACTGGGCGTACCAGCAGCGTTTATCAAATGTAATGGGAATTCAAGCTGAAGGTAAGATGATGCTGCGGCCTGCAGGCGTTGACGGGGGGGCGATTTGCAGCATAGTGGACGCATCTTCGGTTTACTCTGAAACTCGTCGTCCTCCTTCTCCTCCTACGGGAGGGTGCATTGCAACATCGTTGATGC